CGTATCAGGTATAATCCTCTCCCACTCCTTTTGGTTCAGATCTGGTTCAGTTTATGGTTCAAGATTGATCCTTGAAATATGATTTTCTAAATGGGGAATACGATTCCCAATTGAAGGGAGAGATAAAATTTTTGAAATTCGCCCCTTATTCCGCAATCTTTGAGCGTTCATAGGATGGATCTCTCATTCCTTCACCCTCAACGTACTAACTGTTTAAGAATCGAAGAATGATACTAGGAAGACCCAATTAAGATGCAAGTTGGCCAGTCAAATAGTTCCCAATTAAGATGCAAAAAAAGATGATCTTCTGTTTCATATTTAAAGCATTGTAAAGGGGACAAATGGACAACTAGGGGAGGTGACAAGGATACCTTCCCTGCTGAGATTGTCTTTGGTAAGGCACTTACCCAAGGTTGCTATCCAGACCAAGAATGCAACCTTTTAAAGCACATTTCATTCCCAGATGCGGATCACAACAAAGTGCTTCAAGCTCTAAATAATTCAAGCATGTGCAATACTCAATGTATTTGTCTATCTCCTAGTTGCATTCCTTCAAGTAGCTAGTACAAGAGTATAAAATAAATTAAGAAAGGTGTGTGTCTGGGTTGAGCAGAAGCAAATACAATTGTGCACCTAGGTGTTCCTGAATACCTCTATCTTTAAGTTTTCTCTAAAAACATTAGGATTGTAATTAACTGTAGGATACCTCTATCTTTAAGTTTTTTTTTAACATTAGGATTGTAATTAACTATAGGATACCTCTGTCTTTATCAGGCACAGTGAAAATTTAGATTCAATGCACATCAAGAGAACACTTCTAAAATTATTTTAGAAAGAATATGCAGACCTTATCCAACAAGTACTTTTTTTCTCTTATTAAAAAAAGCATTCTTTTTTTGGAGGGTACCTTATCCAACAAGTTCTTGATCTCTACAAGGCGAGCAATGACAGGATGATCACGAACGGGATGGCCCTCTGACTTGAGAAGAAGATAAAATCCAATAGCTTGGCAATATGTCAACAATAAAAGCTGCTTCACCTCCAAATAGTGAATACCTCCTTTAGTATTTGTTTTGCTCTCTCTCACCTTCAGAAAAAATGGAAGTGTTTAGCAATATGGAATAACAATTTAAAAGAGTATAACACTGCAATTATGATAAAAAAAGAGTCCACTATAGAGGCTCAGGGCTCTTCTGGGAGGGCTTAAGCTTTGGTTCAGTTGCTTCAGCTGAACTGCTTCGAAGAAGCCACTAAAAGAAGCTTCAACAGAGATTCATTTCAAGTGATTGGAAAATGGTCAGTTTGATCTCTCCAGATTTTTCACCATTACTTATAGGCCTTCTGAGTAAGCTCACAAAACCAAACGCGGCAATGTGAAGCCAAACAGGTAATAAAACAGAAAACAGCAAAACAAGATACTTTTTCAATCAGGGATATCTGACCTCAAATGCCTGTGCTGTAATTGATGCAACAGTAGGAAGCAAAACCAAGGAGATTTCTTGGCCAAAACTCAAGAAACGACTGGATGTCTACACACACACAGAATATAATCATCACAAGGAAAATAATACCTTGTTTTGGAGTGGAGTCACTTTGTTTTCAAGTTGATCAAGTGCATCATTCAGTTCTGACAGTAAACCAATTAATTCTGGAGCAGAGCTGTATAATACAATAAATTAGAAAACAAAAGGGGAAAAAATTGTAAGCCATGGATTTCCTAAATTGGTGCCAGCAATAAATATAACACATTACTTAAAATCTTGAAATGTGTTGTGCAATGAATAAAAGGTAGTCAGACTACAAGGCCAAGCACTGTTGAAACTAGATGAATAAGAAGATATCCGGTCAATGACCTCTTGACAAGAACAATTGAACTGTTGATCCATTCAGCAGGTTACTGGTCTTCTGTTTTTTTCTGAATTTTTTTATATTGATGACATGACAGGTTGAGCTTGTCTTACACCTCAGGTCAAAAGCTCGGATAAAGGAGTGTTGTGTCAAATTGGCAGCCAACATAGACACTTCCTGCAAAACTTTTATGGTCATGGATCCGGAATTGTCTTTTTGTGTAGCCAACCTCGTATAGATGGGACAGGTTGACTTGTTGACCCAAATGGTTGAACCACTAACCCATTGAGCAAAGAGTGTATGGTACCCATGATTTTCTTGATTAGCTCCTTAAGTAATGGAAGGATATTCTTCAACAAAACATGACAAAATGAAGAGTGGTGGAATATATTGTTGTAAAGGTTTGTCATTTGTCAAAGACTCAAATGTCTTTTTTGATAACTTAACTAATCTCTTTGGATTTGGCTTTATGGCCTAATAGAATCAGCCAACTATAGCACCTTCTTAATATGTCACATACAAGATAAATTTTGGTGGGTGCATCAGGTATTGGGGAACTTATTAGAGATTGCAATGGGTTCAATGTTACCTTACCGAAGGAGGGTGCATAGATCTGAAAATAGTCTCGATGTTACCATACCCAAGGAGGGTGCGAACAGAAACCAAGCATTCTGTGGTTGTAGCGTATGTATAAATTGGGGCGGATCTAGGATTATCAATGGGTTGGTATGGTTCTACCTGACCTACCAAACTGAAATGAACCGATTACATCTGTTCTGGTTCTGTGATTTTGTCCCGATTAATAATTGGGTTGGTTCTGGTTCTATTTTCCGAACAGATTCAGACCCCTGAACAGATTATTTTCCTAATAATACATAAAGGTTTCCTAGTTTTCTTGTAATTTTTATTATATTTTACATCTAATAGTAAGTTTCATATATAATATATAAGATAGTTTTAAAAACACTTGAAATTTACTATTTTACTTTCATTTTATTACGGTTATATTATCAAAAATCAAGTTTTAAGTTACTTATTTATATAATAATTTTAGCTGCCGGTATAACCAGGTCAATTGGATCGGACCAGATTATCCCGATTAGAAGTCAGGACAGTTTGGATATACTAGGAAACCCTGTCCCCACCCAGACCCAATCCAATGACAGCCCTAGGCAGATCCCAAAGCTCCTAGATAGGTCAAAGGTTATGGTGATGATACCACCATGCGGCTGCATGGTGCTTCTTCATATTTATTTGCTTAATTGATGAAAACCAAAGTTACCAATTAAAAAACGAATAAATTCCCTGTTAGTTGTAATAGTTTTAGGAAACTTTTAATATGAATCTTAGTTTGTTCTAAAGATTTTTATTCAATTAAGAATATCAAAAAATAAAATCTTTATCGAATGCTGGTTGCAGCTTTGTTCTTGGGAACAGAGTGGCCACTAACACCTGTGAGCCCAAGATTTTACCATAATACCAAGAAATAGGCCCCTCAATTAAGAAATTCAAAATTTGTATCTACTATTTATGGTAATCTTATAAGTTACGATTTATATTAATCTTGAAAGTTATCAGTAAATCATGCCTTACTTTAATAAATACTGGATTGGGTTAGGATCTGTCTTGAATTTAGTTTAAAGTGTTGAGATAGAAGTTCCATTTATATAGGACTTTTTTCTTAGTTTGTAAATAAGGAATATTGCAATGGAGAAAGAAAGAAGGTTGAATTTACAAACAAAATTACATGTAGTGAAATCAAGAGAAATAGCCCAAACACTATGTGACGTCTAGGCAGGAGCCTCCACTTTTTAGTACTCGCCTCACCCAAACACCATGTGAAAAATTCAAAAGGCACACACCCAATGAATCAAGTGCATAAATAAATAAATAGGGGACAAGGTGGGTGCATAATTGTAAGGAGGGTGCTTAGAATTTGTTCAAATTACTTTGAATCTTTTGTTTTGCTGTCCTTACCATTTATTGGTTAGTTTTACTAGTACCAATAGGACCTGTTACGCATAATCATTTTTTATTTTCACTGGTGAGAATACAAAAAGTAACAAAATAATAATTGATCATTGAGTTAGCTAGTAGGGTTATTCAGAGCACAACGAAGAGGAAAGACAGCAAGCTTTTTGAATCATTTTATTGGACAGAAACAGGGGCTCTGCCCCCTTTCTTTTGTTCTCTTAAATTTCTTGTATTTTTTCAGCTTTTTTCAAATCATTGGTGGTCTAAAACAGGGGGGACAGAGCCCCTGCCTTCTTATTTTGGTAACCAGGACAAGGAAACTAGACAGCACACACTCTAGATGATTCCTTCTCCAATATATCACTAGTACCTGGTACCTGCCATGTTAGCTCATTACATGACAGAAAATAACTCCTTTGCAAGTTTCAAATCCCACAGTTGATACTAAAATACCTTTTTCCTTGGAAATCCTTTAATCAACTCATTCAGATGGATACCTAGATTAGCCAATAACTTGGCATCTCTCTATCCCAACAAGGGGTGAAGATATCTGTATCATAATAGGGAGGCCCAGGTTGCAGTCTACAGGCTGATAATATTGCTTTTAGTTTTGTTTTTGATGGTCAGCTACTTGCTATGAATTGTACCCTTATATTAATCCTTTCAAGCATGGATATCATTTTACCCCTCTTTAATAAAATTTCATTGATCATCATTACTGATTGCCAAAAAAATGAAAAAAACCTTTCAGTTAATACATGTCCAATGTTAAGATGGCATGACTACAAATTAGAAAGAGAATAGTTACCTATATACGACATCCATTTGCTCCTCTTTCGACAAAGCGTTGACATCTTTCTTCACCTCCTCATAAGCCATGTCTGTCTCATCTTTAACATCTTTATCAGCATGAAGTTTTGATTTGACTTGGCCCTTGACAAAAGTATCCTGCAGAAATACAGAAAATGATTTATGCTAATCATGAAAAAATGGAAACAATTCACCAATGTTTAGAYAACTATATCGACTAGTTCCTCTTTGCTTTGTCTTTTAGTTGATAAATTATATTAATATAATTTTTATCAGTAGTATTATTAATACAATAAACATGTACTAGAATAGCTACTCATTTCATTGTACTCAGTAGTCAGTACCAACTACCAACAGACTTGGAGAAAAAAGAAGCAGCAACCAAACTACATAGCTAAATGGGAAATACAAAAGGAAAGAAAAAAAAAAACAAAAAAAAAAACCTCCAGAGTTTTCTGTTCTGCATCAGAATCACTGTGATCTTGTAGTCAGTACCAACTACCAACAGACTTGGAGAAAAAAGAAGCAGCAGCCAAACTACATAGCTAAATGGGAAATACAAAAGGAAAGAAAAAAAAACAAAAAAAAAACCTCCAGAGTTTTCTGTTCTGCATCAGAATCACTGTGATCTTGTTGAATATCTTCAAGGCCAAAGTCTTCCACCGAAAGAAATTTTGCTCTCTCTTTCTGCAATCTCAACACTTCTGCCTCCTCTTCTGCTGGGAGTTCTTCATCGCTTGATTGTAGCTTTAAATCAACAGTAAAACCAGCTATTAATTGTACTCAAGATTCCACTTAATACCATGTATGCGTGGTATGAAAAAAACAAAATGAAGTTATTATGTAACAAATAGAATTGTAATTTTATATTTTTTTCAAAAAAAAAAAAAACTAAAATATGACAACTATAAAACTCCTTACCTCATAATCAACATTATCTGCACTATAATACAAATTCTTTCTTCTACCCCATACTGCCTTTTTATCTTCCTCCTCTTCAACATCATCATGCATTTCATCCTCAACTCCACCAATCTTTTGCCGTAAATACTTCTGTTGCCTTGCAACTTGAGATGAAATTTTTATTAATTATGTTAGAAAAAGTATTAAATTAATGCAGTTTAGACACCAGATAAAATATTGTCAACTGTAATACAACACTGATTGTGATAGAAGAAGAATCACGTCTACTATGAAGCAACACATGAAAGGAAACATTCACTAACCCATCAAACATATATTGTAAGTACTTAATAAAATCGTATTGCAAATCAGAAAGAATACATGATGATATAGTATTACAAAAGCAAAACGAATCTCACCAAACATTAGGACTGAAACAGAATAGTGCACCAAGGAAATAAAATCAATACAAAATATCCATGCTTTACAAAAGTTACAAGGAGATATGCATATCTGAGCATGTGAACCTTAACTTACTTTTAAAATATCCATGGTTTTGCAAATCTAGCATGAGAGCATGTTCAAACTTATACTTGCTCTTATAAATAAAGGTGACTTTTAATACTTTTTCCCACATTTCAACTCTTTTAATTTAAACAAACAAGTCATGCTCAAGTCAAAGCATGAACTCAACTTAAGATTATTTTTGTGGAAACAGGAAAAAGAACCATTTTAACAGCACCTCGTTTGCTATAAATTTCACTTAGGAAAGGGGGAGATGAGAGCATCATAATATGTCTATCATTTCATATATGAATACATACATATTCATGTATTTTTATAATGTATAATATGGACAGATGCATCTATAACACGGAAACAAAACATGGAAAAGGTCCCTGGTTGAGTCATTAGTGTAGTGTCTTGCACAAAAGTACCTATTTATGCCACATGGAAAAAGACAAGTACCAATCAAAACCATCTAACTAAAGGACCATCTGTGCTATGGCCACATCTAAGCCCAATACACCTCTTGTACAAGAGCCTTGCCTAACTAATAGTGGCAACCTGAAAATATCAGTTAACATGTGCCTGTATATTCTGGCTGAAATTTTTCCATGAATAAAAAATGGAATGAGATCATGAATACACCCTTCAAGCCCCAAAATAAGTCACTTAGAATCTTGACTAAGCAAATCAACCAGCAATTATTCATCAAAAAAAAATCAACCAGCAATTCAGCAAACCTGCTCCCTGTACTCATCAAAGCATTAACCTTACTATTTAGGCTCACCCATGGCAACTTTATTCCACCATTGCATGTTATTAAGAAAATGTCCTTAAAAGTATTCATCAAAAAGAATGTCTTTAATAATATTGTATATCTTTAGACAATTTCTCAATACATCTTTAGACAAAAGCTTGAGTGCCCACAATATTTTTTTTTTTTGTGATAGTGCCCTCAATAATATTGTACATCTTTAGATAATTCCTCAATACCTCATGCATATCCTATTTTTTAAGGTATCATATTAAGAAAGCAGCAAAATATATCAGAGGCTTATGTACATCAAAGGGATTGAACAATGGATATAAACAAACAAGCAGATGACTTTCCTTGTCAAGAAGGCTATCACAAGGAACACCTATACATTCTTTGCTCACCATCAACTGACAAGTGGATACAATCCAGAGTTCTCACAGAAGGCACGAGTTGCTGCCTTCCAAAACAAAGAAAATCAAAATAAAAATAYAATTGAGCCCAGAACAAGTGATCCCTGTTCACCTCTTGCTTAGCTAGTAAGTCTGCCAACCTATTTGCCAACCTCCTCTCCCACTGAACTCTCACAGTAGGATTAGAAGTAAGCCACTTAAATCTCCTTATCTCTCCCCTAAAAGACCAAGCTGTTGTCTCTGGTTCTTTTAGCCACCCAATTACCACTTTAGAGTCACCTTCAATGATCAATCTCCCAAAGTTCAACTCTTTAGCAATTTGTGCACCCTGTATAGCCGCTTGCATCTCTGCACTAACGGACTAACCGCATCCCCCACACCATTTGGGCCGGAGTATAAAGGCAACAATCTGTCCCTCTTCATTCCTAAACGCACCCCCCAATACCAGAAGGTCCAGGATCAAGGCTGCCGCTGTCAAAATTGAGCTTTATGAAGTCTTCTTCTGGGGGTTTCAGTCAACTACAGGTCTGTCCTTAGCTGAAGAGGAGTTTTGCCACAGATCCCAATTTCTCCATATGTCATCAAAGGATGAAAAGTGAAAATAACTCCAGAGTTTTAGCCCAGTTAATAGCCCTTATTAACAGATATTCCCAAACAGTAGCTACATCCCTTTCATCATCATTGAAAATCCTGTCATTTCTTTCCTCCCATACTGTCCATACTAAAGCAGCTCTTACACATCTCCAACACTCTTCCTCTTCTCTTAGGCCACCTAAAAGTTGTTGCAGTGGCATATTCCACATATGCCCAAAAAGACCAAATTTTTTTTCCCAAAGATTTACACAAAAGGGCATGAAATTAGAAGATGGAAACAGCTCTCTCCATTTGCTTTGCAAGAGACACACCAGTTTGGGGAGATGCAAAGGTTGGGCCTTTTCTTTTGCAAGGTATCTTAAGTGTTTAATTTCCCAAGAGAAACTTCCCAACAAAGGGCTCCAACCTTGGGGGGAATGGGCTTAGACTAGACTTCCTTCCAAAAGAAAGGCTAAGGGTTAGGGACTGAGCACAGCTAAGTGAAAAAAGAGGCACAAGAAAAAAGACCCAAAGAATTCGGAGTCCAAACTCTAGCATCAAGTTTAGAAAGGTCCAAAACAACAGAGTCTAGAGTTTTTAGCAACAAAGCAGCATGATCAAGTTCAGAATCTCTCAGATCTCTTCTGAAACCCAAATTCCAACTAAAGCCTGAGGACTGGGAGAAAGAAACAAAGGTTTGAACGGGTTAGCTTTTAAAAAGGGAGAGGGAATACAAAGATGGATAAAGGTCCTTAAGGGTGGATATGCCAATCCAAGTGTCTTCCCAAAAGAGAATCCTATCACCAGTACAAAGGTCATACCTGATAAGGCTGAGAAATTGAGGAAGGATACCATGAATAGCCTTCCACGAAGAGTTTAGTGTAGCCTACCGAGACACTCCAACATCCTGACGATTTCCTGCATAACCATGAATACTTCCCACAACCCTATGCCACAACCTCCCTCTCTCTAATGGCCATCTCCATAATCATTTACCTAACAAAGCTTCATTCTTCTTCCCAATATTGCCTACCCCAAACCCCCTTGCTTCTTACTTCTATAGACTAAATCCCATCTCACCAAGCGATCTTTCCTTCCTTCACCAGGCTCCCACAAGAAGTCCCTCATGATCTTCTCTAATTACCTCCCTTTTTGGCATCTTGAATACTGAGAGGAAGAAAACTGGAAGGTTTGCTAAGGTAGACTTAATTAAAGTAATACGAACCCCTAGAGACACATAATTCCTCTTCCACACTGACAGTTTCTTGGCACATCTTTCAAGAATTGGGTTCCAAAAGACTTCCTTCCCATGGGTTGGCTCCTAATGGCAAACCTAGATATTTCAAGGGCCACCTAGCAATAGGGCAATCTATGGCTATTGCAACCCTATCCATCTCTTCCTCTCCCAAGTTCAATCCCACTACACAACTTTTTTCAAAATTGATCTTTAACTTAGAGACAAATTCAAACAATATAATCACCTGCTTCAAATTGCCTTATGAGGATCAGCACTCTCACAGAAAATAATTGTATCATCAGCAAACTGCAAATGTGTGACAACCGTACTCTCTCTCCCAACCCTCCATCCATTAAAAAGTCCCATGCTATCATCTCTTACTAAAATACTACTAAACACCTCAGCTACCAAGGTAAATAGAAAAGGAGAAGGGGGATCCCCTTGCCTCAAACCTCTAGTTGCTCTTACTAAAATACTAATAAAGAAAAGTGTTATTCCAGAATAGAAAAAAGTAGCACAACATCCCCCATCCCTGCAGGAGACCACAGGGCATGGGGGAAACAGAAACTAAAAACAGAGAACAAGCAACAAACACTCAAATATCATACAGACTTTATTCTTGAAGCATTTAGATGAGCAACGTTCTTGAAGCATTTACACCTCTCTTTTTGCTTTGTCTTTCTCTCATCATGCTTACTACCATTCACATTAGTTGCATAATATTAACACGAATAAGTGAGTCACCTCATGCAAATGAATGTAAAGCAGTGAGAGAAATCAAAGAAATGGTGTCCCACTTCTATTTAATATATTTTATTATAAATATTATAATAAACAAGTTATTTTGGGGCAGGGTCGGATGACAATCTAATAACAATTTCTCTAGCATACAATAGGCTAGTGGTGTCTTCCTCAGCTAGCATAATGCTAGGCATCTTTGTATGTACTCTTTTTCATTTTCCCAATATGATAAATTGATGTTATCTATCAAAAAATATATTCTAATAGACAAGTATAGAGGGTTTTCCTCCTCTGTATTATGTTAATATGTAATGGGAAACATGATGAAATGGAAACCCACTTCTCTTTATAATGTTTTATTATAAAAATATCTTTAAAGTACATATGAGGCATAAGCCCTTCTAAGTGCCTTCAGGCTAGAGATGTATGCCTCAAGCATGTCTGCACCTCTTCTGTATGCCTCCACACATTTTCTTAGCATGACACCTGGAGATGCACCTCCAGCACCTTATAAAACACTGCATTGCACTCATCTTTATCTAAAGTGATTAGATACAGAGATATAATATAATTTTTCTTATTACTAATAGCAAGGAACCATTTACGGTCCAAAGTTAATGACAACAAGAGTGTTTTCTTCATCTTAACTACAAAAAAACTTTATCTGAAACCAATTCTGCATGTATAAACCCCTTGACTATAACTCAACTAAAGATATACATTTAATAATGAAAAATTAAATGAGAGACAAGATTCAGTGAGGGCTGCCGCACATTGCCCAGATCAGGACCACCACGAAACTTGTGTTATTGCACATTTAAGGCTGTGTAGTAGATTAGTAAATCTCAAAGTCTTGAATTGAGCTGCCATGTAGTGGAGGTTTTGAGATCCTTTTCCATTAAACAATATTAAAGTAATAAATGCAAACTGCGATAATAATAATAACAACAAGTTTAATAAGCCATTTCACTCACTTTTTGCAGCAAGGCCTGTAAGTGGAGTGTCATCATCATCATCAACATCATCGTTATCATCCTCCTCATCGTCCTGAAAGCAATTACACAAGTAAGAAAAACCAAACAAATAAATAAATAATACATGGCTCAAACTAGAGAAGCTCWAGAATCTGATAAAACCTGAAACAATGAGCTCAGATTTTTTTTTTGATAAATGAAACAATGAGCTCAGATTTGATAATCAAAGTTCATCTACCTTATTATTGCTATACGACACATGGCCCTTTTGGGAGGGCTTCAGCATTGATTGAACTGCTTTGAAGAAGCTATCAAAACTAGCTTCACCGGAAAGTTAATTTCACAGCTCAAGTAAGCTTTTTTTTTTGCTTTCCAGGTTTTTCACCAAACAAAGCTTTGTGGTTTTCCATGTAAGGCCCACCTTGCAATGCCAAAAAGCCACTGCATGAAAGCCCTCCCAAATGGGAGGACTTCAGCATTGATTGAACTGCTTTGAAGAAGCCATCGAAACTAGCTTCACTGGAAAGTTAATTTCACAGCTCAAGTAAGCTTTTTTTTTGGCTTTCCAGGTTTTTCACCAAACAAAGTTTCGTGGTTTTCCATGTGAGGCCTACCTTGCAATGCGAAAAAGCCACTGCATGAAAGAACTCCAAAATGGGCACAATGCATAGAGAAGCTTATAACAAGCATCTAATCATTACACCTCAACTCAAACTCAGGGAAAATGAAAGAAAAACAAAAAAAAATAAAAAAGATATTAGAGAACCTCCACATCAAAGACAGGCTCTTCATTATCCTCATCAGATACCCCAAGATCACCATTGACATCTAATGGGACTTTATCTCTCTGTTTATGAACTGAAATCCACCATGCCAAGCAAAACATCATTTTAGTGGAAAAAATAGATACCAAATAAAATTCGTATATAACTTGATTGAAAATACAGATGCAGATTGAAAGACATCACAGCCCAGTAATTATAAGCAACACAACAAACTAGAAGAAAAAAGTTTGAGGAACAGAAATTTTTTAACCGCGTAAGGTGGAAAATTAAAATTAAATTACAGGCATCTATTTCATCATCCATATCTTCCTCCGCAAAATGTTCATCTCGGGCTCTCTTAGGGTTTCTGTTGTCTTTGTGTTTGTACTGCTGCTTCCCCCTCTTGCCCATTACTTTGATCTTTGTAAGTAGATGATTAGATATCAGTGTGTAGGCAGACACTGAGAAACAATCTTCAAATTATGATGGAATTGCAGGAATGAAGAACTGCAGAAATGAAAATTATTAAAAAAATGACATAGGTGACCATCAAAAAAATGATGAGAGGTTAAAATAAAGCTACCAATATTTGATATTTCAGTAATCATCACTCTGGTTCCTCTTACTGTTTGGTGGTTTTCCTCATAAACCTTAACAAAATTATAAACCCTAAGTGCATAGAAAAATGATCAACATCAACTCATCCTTAATGCCTAAAACACACAACTTAGAATTTGAAATATGACAGTTTGACTCCGCAAGATGAGAAACATGGATGTAAACATTCAAAAAATTTGGGGTTCACTTCATGGCTTTAAATATTTGGAGCCACCACCCATTAGAACAAAGAAATAGGGAGTGATGGGTCTCCCGGATTCAGCATCGAAAACATATTTTGAAACCTAGTGGCTCCTCAGCCAAGGAAGAGGCCATCTGAGTAAGTTGAGAGGGGGAAGGTGTTTGAACCCATCTCCCTTGCCAATGTGAATACCATTTCACTATCTTGCAAAAAAAGAGTAGAGGCACAAAGCAAAATTTTGTTTTCTAGTAGGGTGTGAAATCTCTTCCCATGAATCCCATCCTCTTTTTTATCCAGATTGTAGTCTCCTGCTAGTGGGTTTTCAAGCTCAACCATTCCAAGGATTCGACCTCTTTATGGAGGCTGTACCATATTAAACCCAAATCAGCTGACTGAAATAAAACCCAATAGAGCAGCAGATAAAAACCCTAGAGTTAGCAACGTTCTAAGTTAAACACAAATCCAAACGACCAAAAGAAATACCCAGCCTGACCTAAACGAAATTCCAATGGCTTCCAAATTAAAACAAGTTCAATACATAGGAGTGCCAATAGATATCCATCAAGGCATAGGTTTGAATTCCCACAAAGCACATGAGTTTGAATTGGGCACATCCAAACTCTCACAATTGGAATTCCAACCTACTCTTGGAAAATCTCAGACATGAATTTGTTTGGGTAAAAGAGAAACATCTAGCTGGAAGACAAAAAAAAAATTGTATCTCCAAGATTTTCAGCAGAAAATTCTAGGCAAACAGCTTTTAACTCCATGGCATGGTAACAATCAGCCAAGGCTAGAGTTTTGGCAACAGAGTTCACAAATATTTTTGCAGAGGTAAGACTCACACATCGGTCTAAATCTTGCCAAACCATCCTTGTCTGCTGCAGCTAACAACTATGCTGCTAATGTCTCAGACAAAGGGGACAGACAAGATGAATTTGAAGGAACTAGTTCTTCATCATCTATAAGTGTATCTCTGTATATAAAGTGCAACAGTGCCTTAAAAACCTTAGGTTGTGGTTCAAAAGGCTCTCCAGGGCAATGTTGCTAAAATCTTACTATTTACGATACGATTCACGATTTGATTTGAATCGTGAATCCCAAGGGTTTCTATTCGAATCTTATGCCCAAATCCTTTTCTGCAAAATCTAACAATTTTTGTTTGAATCCTATAATTTGATTCATAAATCTTACAATTTTTATGATTTCTATGATTCAAATAAATTCAATTAAGAATTAGTTCTTATGTTTTTGCTTATATTTAATTTTGTCAAGGGAGATTTTCCTTTAAACCCTTACTAGTGAGGGATAAAATAGAATGTCAAGTAAAAATCTGAGTACGGATATTGCAAGTGATAGGATTATTATATATTAATTGTCTATTATTAACCAATTTCATAGAATTGTTTTACCTTTTTTCTTCTTTTAATTTGTCTCTGCAAGTCATAGTTGTGAACTGGTTGATTTTAATTGCTCTCAAGAAAGAAGAACACCCTAGAAAAAATAAAACAAAGAAAAAGAGTTGGATCAATTAATGGTGGGGAGGACTGAGAAGTAGGAGGAGAAAGAAGAACAACACACGTCCAAACAAATGGAAGGAGACGTTTCATCATTCAGTAATCCCTTCTGTGGTATCACCCAGTTCTGAAATTTGCGGCTCAAGGTCTGTTGCGGCGTTATGGCTTTGGAATGACTCATGATCCCTCCCTCTACACAGTTCCCAGACCTGAGCCTTCATTCCATGCCATTAAAACCAACCAAGCCATGACAGCAGGAGAGACCCCTTGCCACACAAACACACATGAGCACCAGTGATCATAACTCATAATCGCTTTTACTAGGTAACCCATGAGAAGTGGTTTACTCATGGATTTTACTCCATGAGAGCCTTGCCTTCTGAATTCTGATCACTTTCATAATTCAAGCACACACAAGGAGAGAGAGAACTTGTCACAACTCACAACTATGGTTCTAACTTCTGAACTTGGTCATAACCATCCAAGGGTCAGGATTGGATAATCATGCTGATTGATGAACTCCAAGCTAAGGTGTTCCTGGTGGGTCCAACTCCAATCTGTATTCTGTAGAAGATTAGGATTAAGGAGGACTCAACAAACAGGTTAACTGTCTTACAAAATACAGTTTCCAGTCAAATATTGCCAGCACTGCCCGCGCATCTCTTAAAAACACGTGTTTGTCCCGCCTATCGGGTCAGTTAATTCCATATATAAGGTGTCAACACCCTCGTAACGAGGCCAAAGAGTCCAACACTTACAAATTAAGAGTTTATCTCCCTCTTGAGTCTCTCCATTTCTTCTTCTACAACCTTTTCCTCTTTGCCAATTTTGGAACTGATTACTGGAACACAAAGGTGAATCTTTTGTTTGAGTTTTCTTCTATGTTTGAATTTCTTTAATTGGTTTCTCAGAAACATGAAAATCTGTTATTGGGTTCGATCTGCAATGCCATTGTTCTCTAGATCCATATTTTAAGTAAAACAGACAAGTCAGTAATTTTAGGAGGGGCAAAACTGCAAGGGGGCGAAAAATTATTTTATTTCTCGCCTGTTTAAATCAAAGTTTAAAATGCCGATGTCGATGGAAATGTCGCTTACCAAAATATAGGACATATGTCGGAAATGTCAAGGGGAAACTTTGTGGAAATATTATGAAATATGTGGAAATATGCAATGATATTTTGTAAAATGATAAAAGAAGCATTAATACATATTTCTAGACTATTATCTTATTCCCAACCATTACATAAAGATAAGAAACTAAGATCAATAACAAATTAGTAAAAGATGATTTACTGATTTATTATGCATTTTGATGTTTTTACAAGTTTACCCAATATTTTCTTTTGTTAATGTTAATTCTGATTTATTATAAATTCTAATATATTTATTTCACACTAGTAAATAAAAATACATTTATTCTGATTTTTTAAATATTAAAGTTATAATACATTATGCTTTATCATAGTTTTCAAGGCGTCCAGGCGAGGCTGGACGACCACAGGGCACCCAGGCGCCTAGGCGTTGGAATTTTAAAATATTAATTTTCTTGACTTTTTACTTTATCTATGCTTTTGTAAACTATTTTATTGGTTTTGTGTGCTAACTAGCAATCATGCACACTAACTATTAACTCTATAAATCATTCAAATGAGTTTAAAACTATAAATTTCATATAACTAGCAAGCATGTACACTAACTATTAACTGAAAAAAAAAAAATAAATAAGTGCAGGAACTATGAAGGGAGGAGGAGAGGAGTATAGGGGCGGAAGAAGAAGAGGAAGAAGAAAAAGTATAGGGGATTAAGGGCAGGGAAGAGTATAGACCCCTGTTTTTTCAACAAAAAAAAAGGGACTGAGAGTCTGAGACTATCGACTGAGAACAGTCAGGGGCGGAGCCCCTGTTTTTTCAAAAAAAAAAAAAAAGGGACTGAGACTAGGACTAGCGACTGAGAACAATCAGGGGCGGAAGAAGAAGAAGAATGAGTGGAACTGTGAAGGGAGTCCGCCCCTGTTTTTACGAAAAAAAAGCAAAAAACGACTGAAGCTGGGCTGGAAGAAGAAGAAGAAGAGAAAAACTTACCTGGTGAAGCTGAGGTGCGATGGAGTTGGGCTGGGGAATGAAGTCTTCGGTTCTCCTCCCTCTCCAATCGAACCGAAAAAAACCCTTACGCATGGAACGAAGAAGGAAAAGGCTTTGTATTGTTCTCTTAATAATAAAATAATTATAATATGTAACCGGTTTTATTTTAAAATAATAAAATATCAAAATAACAAATTTAAAAAAAAAAAAATTATTAGATGTATGTCTAGTACACAAAATCCGGGGGCGTTTGGGCGAGGAGCCCATGGAAAACCGCCTAGTCGCCTAGGCGGGCCTCGACAATTATGTGTTTTATTATAAATTTAATAAACTGATAGTATTAAGATTATGATAAATTCTGATTTTTTATAAAACTTAATGAATTTATTATGATTTTTAATATTAAATTTATAATAAATTATAATTTAGTATAAAATTTAATAAATTCATTCTGATTTTTTATATTAAATTTAGAATATGATTTATTATAAAATTTAATAAATATTTTCTGATTTTAATAAATATTTTAAAAATACTAACTAGTTAATATTTTATTACTTGAAAAATATTTTTATGTTTTATATTATAAAGTATTTAATTTATTTTTTGTTAATTCTTTTTTATAAATATTTTATTTGAAATATTAAATAGAATTTATTAATGGAATAATTTATATTAATATATCGTATTATATTAATATAATATACTAATATATTATATTATTAATGTACATTAGTCGACATCTTGTCGACATAATAGGAAAAATTGACTTTTTTTTGTTATTTGGTTGACATTTCTTAAATATAGGAAATGTCAACGGAAATTATGTAATTTTTATACTACCATCCATTCTCATGTCGGTGAGCCTCGAGATCAACATATGTTGGGCGACATTAGCAAAATGCCGCAACATTTGAAATCATGGTTTCAATGAGTTTTGGTGGGTTTTGATTTCAATGGGGTTTGATTTGTTCTCAGGCCCACATCGCAATTTTTGCCTAACTTGGGTTGCCACCCAAAGGACTAGTTCCTTTTCGTCCTCTTTTTTTATTCTTCTTTAGTCCCCTGAAATGGAATATTAGAGGTCCCCCATTTTAACCAGGAAAGGAAGAGATGGTTGACGAGTGATCAAATGGAGTCATTAGAGCAAAGCTTCTAGGAGGAAATAAAGCTGGAACCCTGAGAGGAAGATTAGTAATTAAAGCGGATGTCGTTTCTTGCAAGAACAAGATTACCAGAGTGAAGAACCATATTGTAGAGACTTTCCGCTTCACCATTACCATCATTCAAAAGAGACAAAAAAAAGACATTTGAGATACATTCGCACAGACATGAAGGTTTCACATGCGGATACCAATTCTTGTGGGAAGAAGAGGCCACGTCGTCTCAACGAAGGCCCTTCCTGGCTGTTTTAATATACATAGATAGACTAGAAAATGATTTATTTATGTTATTTAAGATCAGAAATTGAATTTATTTTCCATCATATGTAGGTTATAGAGCCATTGTATTATATCATCTCAAGCTTCTATTGTATAAGTGGTAAATTCTCTTATTTTATATGGTATATATAGATTAAAAATAGGATAATGTCACTTTCCTATATATATTTAGCCTTTTAATATATCTATATTTAATTTTTTGACAAGTTTATAAAAAGAAAAGAAATAATCTTACGACTCACAATTCGATTCGATTCAACTTTCTTTATAATTTATGATACGATTACAATTTTCAAAACATTGCTCCAGGGATTGGAGGTGTCTTCAGGGATGAGAATGGGGTTGTTTCTGACATGTTTTCAGGCCCAGTTGGAGTGGATGACTCTCTCAGAGCTGAGATTCACACAGTTATGGAAGGTGTCCAAAAATCTAGGGAGATGAATATCAGGAAACTCATAATTGAAGGGGACTTGGAGGTGGTGGTTGGTGACTGAACAAAGAAGATAGTGATTTATGGAGTTGTAGTAATTTGAAGAGGAAATTGATATGGCTAGTTCGAGGAATGGAAGTTAAAGTCAATTGGGTAAAAAGATCAGCTAATTTTTTTGCTGATGGGTTAGCTAAACAAGGAGTGGATAGAGATGTCATGTTCTAGGCAAAGATGTAATTTAATTTTCTTCTCTTTTTGTTTTCTCTTTCTCTCTTGTTTCCTCTCTTGGGGCTCATGATGTAGTTGGTAGATAAGAAAGTTTGTCTTCCTCTTTGTAATTTATTATGATAATTAATGAATTGCATTATTGATTAAAAAAACATTGCTCCAGGGATATGTTCACTCAAATAAATTGGATTAGAAGATYGGCCAACAATTTGGCAGATAGTTTAGCCAAACAAGGGGTATAGATACTCTATGTTTTGGGTTCAATTGGAATTTTGGGGTTTTGGGCTCAATTGTAACCTTCACAACTACTTGTTGTGCCTCTTTAATCAATTTATGAAATCCTTTTTCTGAGTATTGATAAAAAAAATTAAAACAAGTTCAAAGGCAATCAAACCAAAATTACTAGAATGCAAATCTCCTAAAAAACACAAAATAAGAAGATTTTCACTACTGAAAATATTTATTTTCAGAGGAGGTAGCTAACCCACTTCTATTGTAGCCTCCGAACCGTGTTTGATGCCATCATTTGTATCGGGTACAAGGATTGCGGTGGCTAGTCACTGATTCATGACAGGTACTTTCCTTCAGACTTTGATTTTCCATCACACATTGGCTAGACATCTGAGCTCAGTCATTGATGCTAGAAGGAAGACGGAGATAGGTTCAACTAACCTAAAGCTAATGGTGAACTGTAACTGTAGAGCAGGGCTAATGATGTCCAACGATAACTAAGACAATGGAGAGTAAAAAAAGGCAAGGGGTGGTGTGAACATCGGATCGAAGTTCAATTCATGGTTGGGATTTTTAGAGTCACCACCCATCAGCCAAGGTTCAAAGTATCGACATGTATCGGCCCATATCGACCGATATGTATCGTTTTGGGAGCTCCCCGATACATCCCCTGACCGACTCAAGGGGTGGAGGAGCCTTAAGCTAGCTCCCCTGAATTGGTTTTGAAAAAAAAAAGTACCAATATGGCTCGATAAGCCCCTACCTACATATCGAGCATATTGATATTTTGAACCTTGCCATCAACATTGAAGAAGGGGAATGATGGGTCTCCTTGATTAAAATTCGAAAAACATTTGAAAATAGTAGTGACTCCAATGCTTGAACAAGCCTATCCAGGTAAATTGGGGAAGAGAGAGTGAAGGGGTTAGGCACCCCTCTATATTGTCAATGTGAATACTAATTCCCGGCCTAAATTTTAAACTAGAAAGAAGTAGAATAATAGAAAAATAGTCGGGGAGTGATGATAGTGGCCTCTCCGAGCTATGAAGATGCTAGGTTGATGCTCTCTCAGGCGGTTCAACCTTTAACCCTCTATTCGTGTGCAGAAACCCTTAAATAGCAAAGCAGTAGACAACTACACGCATTCATCAACGAGTCTTCATCCAAAAAAACTCAAACTCAAACTTCATGAACATCAGAATATCAATGAAGGAACACACAACATGAAATGCAACACCAAAATCGAAATATCAATTGTCAATAGGTATTCAAACAGAGCTACATGTTAAATTGCAAACATAAGAGCCTTGACTAATCTTAGCAGTGTTATTATTCTTCAACTAATCAAGAAAAAAGAAATTATAAACTAGAAACAAATCAAGAAAAAAATATAAAATGGAAACATGGCATGGGTAATCATTCGCCCCTTCTGAGAAGTCAAAGGAATCTCAAAACATAAAAAAAAGAAAAACATTTTATAACAGAAAAAAACTAGAAACAAATAAAAAAAACTAACCACACTAAAAATTACAGAGGAATCCAAAATCACATAAGTCACTATAGAAGCCATAAGAATTATAGATGAATCTATAAGATTAATGGTTGAACCTAAAGGTCCTATACTAAAAATGGACCAAAATCACAAAGTCCCTATGGAAGCCATAAGAAAATCCGAAAGAAGAAGAAGAAGAAGAGGAAGAAGAAGAAGAAGAAGAAGACTTGGAATCGATTTGCAACTTGTCGATTTTTCTAGGGCTTTCGAGTTTGTCGTAGTGATTTGCAAGTTGCAGCGAGCCAACGACCTAGAAGGTTGGAACCAATTTGGCAATTTGCAGGCTTGTCACAGAGTCGTAGACCATAGGTAATCCTCTTCGGTGTCTTCACTTGATGTACACTTGCATTGCTCAGTGCTCAGTTGCTCTCTGTTCATTTGTGAGACTATGACTTTTCTTTTTCTTAGTTTTCTCACTTCTCGAACCAGTTCGGTAGTTCAAGACTTAAAGTTTCAATCAAATGAGGGTTTTTTATTCCCCTCCCATCCCATATTGGCATATTCCCATTTCACAAAGTAACAGAAAATCTAAGATACAATAGGGACCACAATATAAGTGTATAAATCATATAATTATATATGAATATTATATATAAGTATAAAAATTATATATAGGGCTTGAATAGGCTTGCGAGCCGAACGAACCGAATAGCATAGTATTTGAGATCGACTCGATTAGTAAACGAGCTTGGTACTCAAGCTCGAATTTGGTTCAAAGCTCGGTCTAGACCAATCTGAGTCAAGATTTTCACGAGCCAAGCTTGAATAGCTCATGAAAAGCTCGACTCATATCCACCCCTAGTGGTGAGTTGTCTCAGACATGCTCTAGCCTCCCCTATCTATAAATAGAATGGATTTTGGGCTCTAATAGAGAATTCTGGGAGAGGAAAAACCAGAGGAGAGAACTCTCACTCGATTCCCCTAACCATTTTAGCAAGAAACTTGAGAATGAACTCCTATCTCAAGGTATGGTCCAATAAAATGCCCCATTTCTCCTTGTTTAAGTCTCAACCTTCTAGAAAGACAAAGCCATTTTCAAATCTCCAATGCTACACCTTAAGAATTTGTTGCGCGATCTCCCTCACTCAAAAATCTCAAAAGATGTCATTCTCAAGCTTTGAAAATTGCTACTATAAAGTTTAGTCAAGGCTACATCAAATAGGAAAGTTTCTTAACCTTCATTGTGATTTCTCATCATTGTTGGTAACTTGCTTTGCATTAGTCTC